CCTCCTCTGAGTCTCGGTATGCTTTTCTCTTTCCTTCTAGTTGTAGAATTTCCACTCAGCCAGCCTTCCTGTGGTTCTGGATGATGTCCGTTCCGTCTTTTAGTTGTATTTTTGAAGTGGTTGTGTGAGGCAGCAATCTCCGGTGTTTACCTATGCTGCCATCTTGGTTTATCTCCTTTTCTCAGAAATTCTTGGTGGGGAGTGGGAGAGACCTGGAAGTGAGGGCACCTGGGTCTGGTCCCCACCCTACAGAGCTGATAAAAAAGGACACAGGTTTATTTGGGAGTGCGGAGATTACGGGAAATCATTTTCTTCTCTATGTTTCCATTTTCTATATTGTTAAATTTCTGATTGTGGTAAAATATACATAACATAAAACATACCATTTTAATGATGTATAAGTACAGTTTAATGGCATTAAGCATATTTACATTGCTGTGCAACCATCACCACCATCATTTCCAGAACTATTTTATCTTCTCAAACTGAAACTCTATCCCCATTAAAGTAACTCCCATTTCTCTCCCACCCCACCCCCCGCCCCTGCCTCCCACCCTGGGCACCCACCATTCTGCTTTCTGTGTCTATGAGTTTGACATGCCTTGTTGCAGGCTCTAGGAACCTGTAAGTAGAATCATACAGTATTTTCCCTTTGTGACTGGCTTATTTCACTTAGCATAATATCCTAGAGCAGGGGTGGGGAACCTTTTTCCTGCCAAGGGCCATTTGGAAATTTATAACATCATTCGCTTAATATAATTCACTTACTATAAATTTGGTTGCTATGAAAAAAGTTCCTAGATTTATTGAATTTCGAGTCCTGCCTGCAGATGCCTTGGCAGGGCCGGACCAAATGATTTCATGGGCCTCATACAGCCCGCGGGCCAGAGGTTTCCCACCCCTATCCTAGAGGTCATCCCTGTGGTCGAATGTGCCCTAGCCAGGTGGCTCCGTTGGTTGAAGCATGTTCTGTGCACCAGAAGGTGGCAGGTTCCATTCCCGGTCAAGGCACATACCTGGTTTGTGGGTTTGATCCCTTCCTCTCTCCCTAAAAATAAAAAAATATGCTCAGGTGAGGATTAAAAAATATATGCATATTGAGAATGTGTCAGAATTTTCTTTCTTTTTGGGGTGAATAATATTCCAGTATGTATGTGTGTGTGTGTGTGTGGCATTTTGTCTATCCATTCATCCACTGATGAACACCTGTTTCTACTTTTTGGCTTATTGTGAAAACACTGCTATAAACATTGGTGTGCAAATATCTGTTTGAGTCTCTGCTTTCAGTTTTTTTGTATATGCTTAGAATACATAGAGCATAATTGTGGTTGAATAATATTCCAGTATGTGTATGTGTGTGTGTGTGGCATTTTGTGTATCCATTCATCCACTGATGAACATTTGTTTCTATTTTTTGGCTTATTGTGAACAACACTGCTATAAACATTGGTGTGCAAATATCTGTTTGAGTCTCTGCTTTCAGTTTTTTTGTATATGCTTAGAATACATAGAGCATAATTGTGGGATCATTGGTAAATCTATTTAATTTTTTGAGGAAGCAGTTAAAATTTTTTAAGCTTTTTAAAAAAGTGATCAAAGAGCCCTGGCTGGTTTGGCTCAGTGGGTAAAGCGTCGGCCTGCGGACTGAAGGGTCCTAGGTTTTATTCCAGTCAAGGGCACATGCCCAGGTTGCAGGCTCAGTCCCCAGTGTGGGGTGTACAGGAGGCAGCTGATCAATGATTCTCTCTCATCATTGATGTTTCTATCTCTCTCTCCCTCTCCCTTCCTCTCTGAAATCAATACATATATATTTTTTAAAAAGTGATAAAAGACTGTTAAGAATAAAACACCACCTGGCTGGTGTGGCTCTGTGGTTGAGTGTCGACCTAGGAACCAGGAGGTCACAGTTGGATTCCCAGTCAGGGCACATGCCTGGGTTGCAGGCTTGATCCCTAGTAGGGGCCGTGCAGGAGGCAGTCGATCAATGAATCTCTCTCATCATTGATGTTTCTCTCTCTCTCTCTCGCTCTCTCTCTCTCTCTCCCTTCCTCTCTGAAATCAATAAAAATACATTTAAAAAAAAAAAAGAATCAAAACACCCATTTCAAAACTTTAAAAACAGAAAAATCATGTTTGTTCATTATGATTTTTAATAATGTTTACTCTTCTAGTGTTTTTATTTATTTTTAAAGACTAATTGAGAGAGAGCATCCATAACAATTTTCAGGTTTTATTTGGTTATTTATATGGATTTTTGAAAATAAAACATTTTTATTGTAATAAATACATATAACATAAAATTTACTGTCTTAACCATTTTTAAGTGTGCAATTCAGTGGTATTAAGCCCAGCCGGCATGGCTCAGTGGTTGAGCATTGACCTATGAACCAGCAGGTCACTGTTCAATTCTCCGTCAGGGCACATGCCCAGGTTGCAGGCTTGGTCCCCAGTGGGGGGCATGCAGGAGGCAGCCCATGAATGATTCTCTCACATCATTGATGTTTCTATCTCTCTCTCTCCCTCTCCCTTCCCCTCTGAAATCAATAAAAAATATATATATAGTTTTAAAGCTCAGACTTTAAGGCTTATAATCTCGTCAAATTCCAGTCTCTTCAGGTCCCTGCATACCTCATGAGGCCCAGAACCACGAGCTGTTCATTTCCACCGACTCCATCCCCCTGTTGCACTTGGCGCTCCTCTGCCCCTTTCCTCCCAACCAGCAGGGCAGAGCGGCCTGAGTCAGGCTGCCCCCGTGACCCCCTTTTGTAAGACACTAGCATTTCAGCATATTTTTGTAGCTTTTCACACTAAATGGTTGTCATTTTGCAAAACAAAATATTCACACCGGGTAAGAGTTGTGTTGTGTTCCGGGAGCTTGCTAGACCAGGAATTTACATCTATGCTTCCCCCATCCCTCCTATGTACGTGGGCCGTGTGCCTGGGCACAACACCTCCCTTATTGGGGCTCACCTGTCATCTGTCAGTAAGTGAGTCAAACCACACAACCTGAAAGGACACCAGGAGCTAATGACACCATCCTGTCCGCACCCAGGCTCCTCCCACCCTCAGCCACGGGAGGAAGGAGCCAGGACGGCCAGTGTCCAGGGTCTTGGAGACGTGCCCAGCCTGTTTTTGACTCTGGACTTTTCCCAGAAGCTTGGCATTGTTGCTACCAGGCCTCACCTCACAGATATTTTCTAACCGAAACTGGGGCAAATGGTCTGAAAACATGGAGATGTAGAAGACATGCTCGTGAAAAGAAGGCAGAAGTCTCGCTCCCGCAGGAGGGCATGGGGGCCGGATGGCAGGCGCTCAGTGGGCAGGACAGGGCCAGGGCAGCCTGCAGAGAGCAGGCGGAGGGAGGCGCGTGGTGCTGGGGTGGAGTGGGTGGGAAATGGGCCTCTGGGTGCATGTTCTGGGGCCTGACTATGGGGTGACACTGAGTTCAACAGAGCCACTGCCCATTCTGGCCCCACCCCTCTCGCCAGGAACCGCCTCCCCAACGACCGACCGCAGTGACCACATCCCCCCAGGTTGCCTTGGAAACACGTCTCAGGACAGGGGAGTTGGGGCACAGTTGCCCAGCAACAGGTGGTGCCTCCCTTCCGCCCTCATCTGAGGCCCTGCTCTGCACCCTTCCACAGGCCAGGGAAGAGCTGCTCTGAGGGGAGAGGGGAGCCCAAGGACAGAAGACTGAGGTGAGGAGCACAGGAGGCCCCTGTAGGTGGGAGCCCCTGGGACCAGCCCCCACCACTTCCTCTCTGTAGGCCCAGCAAGCCCTGAGGGGCTGAGGAGACAGAGGGAAGACGCCCTTGGGGCCCTTAGAGCTTTGTCTGAGGCACCTGGGACCTGGGAGGGGAAACGGGGTTCTGAGCAGGAGGGCCCGGCTGTGGGCCCCAGTGGTGCTTCCCCCACTTTGCCTCCTCTAGCCCTTCCCAGGGTCCCTCTGCTCCTTTCCCTGTCTGGGCCTGTTTCTCGGCCAGATTCCCAGCCCCCTGACCCCGGTCCCTCTACGCAGTCTTGGCTGGGCCCTGGCTGCCTCTCTGGGCCTCTGGATTGTGCTTCCTGTCCTGACCCTGTCTCCCCAGATGCCTTGGACTCCAGAGCAGCCCTCTGGGCACATGGAAGGGCCTCCTGCATCGGAGTCGGCCTCGTGGCCCCCGCTGCCCTGTGGGCCTTGCATCCCCATCATGCTGGCCCTGGCGGTGCTGGCCGCCCTCTTCCTCCTCACCACGGCTGTGCTGGCCGAGCGCCTGTT